TGTCTTCTTGACTCTAACATTTGGAAAACTGAAGTTTCTTTGTCTAACTCTAGCTTTTGTTCGGCCCTATCTTGCTCGTCATGCGGTCCGCTGCTTAAAGCAGGGGAACGTTTGTGTAGGTGTCTCTGGATGGACCGAGAGCGTAGATTGTCGACGGTGTTCAGGGAGATTAAAAAAGCCAGTGCAGTCGGAAACAGTTGAGTGACGTCCTAACCTATACGAAATGCAAGCATGCAAACGACATTAGTGGGTGAAACTGTAGCAGAGAGACGAGTAGTTTGTCCTTTTTCAGACACACTTGAATGAGCACCGTGTGTAACACTTTAAAGTGCAATTCGGCCAGCAACGCTACCTTTGCCTTCCAAATTACCTAAATCCTATCAGGACATTTATGTCTTATAAATTTGGCATCAACCTACGCAAAATGATGTCTGAACTCATTGAAACATCTCTATTAGCGGCTCACTTATGTTTTTTCCTTTTGATCTGTTCAACACAATATGAAACACTAAAAAGGTGTCTTTGGACTAATAGTTGTCAGTCGTTACAATGGTATTTTGGCTGCATTTGTGAATTGAAAGGAGACCTCGATGCATCAGTAAAGGGAAGCACCATGTACTATCACCTATCTGTTATCATCCTTACGTATACCACCCTTTAAGTTCCTTTTCACGCGACTTCTGTGGGTGTTTTTCTACCTTTTTAAAACTCGGCACCTAGTCCATGTTACTTCTTGCGACGCAATATCTGTGTTTCATACCTCTAGCTAACATTTCATTGATTGATTATTGGGTTATCTGTAGGTGTAGCAGAAACGAATCTGAAGATTACGAAGCTGAACCTTTTAATTCATCAGCATTTGCAATCATTATCTACGTTTTTCAGATGAGCGAGGGTTTTCAGTCGGCATCCTTGACACAGTTTTTCTCAGACAAACCAGACAACTGCCGCACTTATGATGCAGAACTTGCCATTGATTTGGGTTCAAACCTAAATTTTACGGCTGATTTTCACAAGTAAGATACTTCTCCTTATCGTATGCGTTACACTTTTCACCTCTTCACCGGCAGGTTTGTTATTTGCGGCTAACTTTCAAAACTCCGAGTCAGTCACATTTTCCCTCAGCTTTACATTGTTTTACTTTCATCAGCCTTCTAGTATTGTTATCTTTATTGACCACCTATAGTTACTGTGCACAAATGAAAGGTCACCATAACGGTTTAGCCAAATATATTTCTCCACTTGTTAGAAAGCACCATCTACTCTCTGCTGATTATTTGCTGCTGTATCTTTGGATAAATTCGCTTATCCCGGGCATTACCGTGCAGATATTTGATGACTTCCTCTTTTTCCTTAGGAAGTTGTTCGCATGTATCAACTTCATCTGTTTTTTCCTACTTAGTTAAAACACCTGTGCCGGTTGCTTTTAAGACTTGCTTGTTGTTGCTGCTCATGTTTTGAACTGGACCAATGATCGTATCCATAATAAAAGTGTTCTGGGATTGCCGTTGAGCTTGTATACCTGGTTGTTCGCTCCATTGCTTGTTTCCAGGATACCAGCTTTTGGCCTAACTACTGAGCTCCGATCAACGCTCATCTGAGTGCCATGACTTACTCTAGAAGTGAACCTCGCCATAGATAGCCGGTTCGTGGCCTAAAGTTAACGAGCTGGTCTTGTAATCTGACGGCGCGGGTTTGAGCCTGCGTAGGGGCAGGTCGGCCCTCAGTTCACGCGCAATCGGTGGTGATTGCGCGGCAGCGAAGTCTCGGTACTGCCTACCGGCGTATTGCAGATGCTTGCCTGTCTGTTCGCCATAGATAGCTGTAGTGTCGGTGTCCAATTGTTTCTGTTTCCGTATTGATGTCCGGATTTTCATCCATTCACACCATCTTATGAGAATGCACTGATTCGGCGGCTTTGGATATGGTTATTCTCATAACCGGTACAAGAATAGTTCTCAAAAGCGGACTCAGGCGTCTCAGTTGCCAACTGGATACATTTCCCCCGTTCCTTTCATTCATTTGGGCCAAATGCGGAGAACGCAGTGTGACGATTAGCCTTTGATTTTGTGTTTTTATTTCATGCCGTTAGCCACTGCTACACTGTTATTTCTCGGTTTGCTGTGGAATATGAGTGGATTGATTAAAAAATTTTGGTGAGTTATTTCCCCTTATTGTTAATAGGAAATTCCACCAAACTTGTTGATGTGGTTGATGTGGCCGTTTCTCTAGGACGGCTACATACCTCTGGGTTCTGCAAATGAAGCTTTGCCATTTAGAGTCTTCTCAGCCACACGGCTGTAAAGTTTCTGGTTACACCGCAGGTCATTTCATTGTTTGTGTTTACTATGAAGTAATACAGTCGCATTCGGCACATCTTGTAAATGACGAATTTTTGTTACATAAATGTTTTAATACCACTGTCGTTTTTACTGCTTCTATCGCCCTGCATTAGGTTTGATAACTTGAAAAACCTTCTTGATTGCAACAAAGAAGCTTTCAAATTGGACGCCATGAGACAGATTATTGAGGTATTTATCTTCATGCAACTAGCACATTCTTCCAGATGGTTGCCCGTGGAAGAGACTGCTCGGAACTCTTCCCGGCTGTGGTCAAGAATGTCGTTTCAAAAAATCCAGAGGTTAGACAATCCCACTTATTGGTCACTTCATTTTTTGATCGTAGGTTCGAAAGCTGGTTTACATCTATCTTACCCGATATGCCGAGGAACATCAAGATATTGCTCTGCTTTCTGTGTCCACTTTTCAAAGGTCCCTCAAGGTGAGTTTCCTTGAGCAGCTGACATTTACCGGTACGTTGATGTTAACTCAGTCATCCAACTTGAAAGCTGTTCCATTTACAACGTGCGTCATCTGAAGCCAGCATGGCTAAACTGCGTTGATCTAATGTGCCTGCGAAGTTTTGCTACTTATTCATCCAGTACTGGATAGTCACATAAAAGCGGTTGTTCTCTCGATACCAAACTGCGCACTGTCATGTTGTTGTGCTTTTCGCAACTTCTTACTTGATTGCGCTAGGCTGAATGCCGCATCCTAACTACCATGTATGGGACAAGCAAACTCAATCGCAAGCATGCTACTCTGTTGTTTCGGACAAAGTTCGTTTCTATCTTCTCTGGGTTCCATTCAGTAGGATAACCATTCATAATTCCGTGCTTGACTCGATCGGTTTATGCCACTTACCCTATATGTGTAGAGTTTGATGAAGGCAATGGGACTTAAAGAAATGACCTGTTTGGAAGAGGAGAGCTTCAGTATATCCGTTTCTGATCGCTATTTTCGTCTCTGTCTCAAAGCTTTCCAATCATGTATAATTGTGACTGATTGACTATGAATCTCTGAGCCAGGACCGCCCTAATTCCGTCAGTTTCGAAGTTTCTGCCCACTCATGCGTTGCTCACCTTGTCAAAGCTTTCAGTTCAAGTCAACGCGCACAATTATGACTAGGCGATCTGACTGCTGAGCATGTTTGCGATCCATGTATCAGGGTTATTGAGGCATGTATGGTGAAGTGCTGAGATCGGCTGTGCACAGAGTTCATCTGGCTTGAAAATCCGCGGATAGACGCCCTAATTAATAATATGGTGTTATTACTACACACCAAAACTGTCTTGAATACTATTACCCGAGCAGGTCGAATTTTGCCTTCATAGGGCAGAACTACACATACCGCAGCATTCTTTACTCGGTCTTTCATGGAAAGACAGGTCGCATCGTCACCAAAGAAGACGAATGTTGTCAAAAGCTAGCGCATCTTTAGAAATGGATAGAAAGACTAAGCGTATTACGACCTATCTTTTAGCCGCTATCTCTAATGCAGCCCGTTGATTATCTCCAACGGGTGGTCCGAACGGACGAGATTAAGAGCAGCTTTTAACCCATCTTGCGTAGGGGTCTAACACTTCGAATGGTGGAAGATCATTTCGAACTTTAGTTCATGCGTTTTCAACCTACATAGCATGCTTTATGTGGCTTGTGGGGATCACAATTTACAGCGACGTAGGGTTTCCTGATTGTTCGGTTTAAGGGGAGAGTTAACCTGCGTGACACCTTAGTTACTTAGACCGTTCGTACTCACATTGCAAGTGTTCTACTCTTCTCACTAGACGCGAATCTGAAATTGGCACTTTCCTGCTCCACAAAACTTCTAGCCCAACCGAAGGAAAAAGCAGAACACCGATGACCTTGACAAAATGACGTATTAACCGCTGTCAACAAACACTGTACAACAACCGCTGACCGTGGCTGTATGTATACCTCCCTTACTGACATTCGACTTCTGGAATTGGAAGGTTAACTACCAATGTTATTGGTTTCCCATAGCTTTAGCCGAGATGTCAGGTGGTTGGTAGTCACGTACAGAACTTAGAATATTCCGGAGCGTTCGAAATCAATGCGATACTCGTTGACAATCGATTAATCGCTAACATAGTGGATTTTCCATACTATTCTTGCTTCCACAGACAGCAAGGCATCGAAGCGAATTGATTTACAGACTGTTTAAAAGATGATAACTACTATGTAGCTGCCACCGTTTCGCGCTGTTCGTGAGTCCAATATACCCGCATAGCAACATAGATACCAAGTTTCTTTTCCTGCGTAGCCGAATTCACTGCCATACTCGAAGGCTGTCGGAAGCCAGTTGACTCGCGCACCTTGCCGTTGCTCGAATAACCAGCCCACACGGAAGCCAGTGACCGTTATGCTGTCCAACTTTACGTTGAGTGATCAATGATGCTATAGCCAGTCACATTGGCTTTGACTCGGCGTCTTGCGAACTCTTGTGCTGTTCAATTTGGAATCATTGATCTTCCCGGGGTCCCCACGTGCACAAAGACCTCTGAGTGTCGCAAACTTTATCCACCTCGTGTGTGATATAAACTAGACCTATTCGCATTTACCTACACACATGGTATTCCCCTGAGGATGCACCAGGTAGCGTGTGGCTTTCTTGAACTATGCACGAGCACTGCGACTTGTCCTTGTTACCAAGAGACGTTTCAGTTCATCACCAGCTTACTGTCACCTGCCTCCAACCCGACACATCATGTCCAATAGCGTACAACTGCCAAACCTCATTTGTCTAAAATGTTTCGGTATACTGGTATCTCCTGTTGGCGATTCCGTTGTTCCTTTGTTCACCGAGCTTGGCAGTTCGGTTGCAAACGTTTCGTTACCATGCGAGGTGCCATCGTCATTGGAATTGTATACTGAGTGCAACCTTAATAATTGAATCGTCGATTCGTGAGTGTTAGTGATTTTTGAAGGTGACGGCTTTGATTTGCGTCCAGTGATCCTTACTCGTTTTCCTCGCGGTTGAAGTCGTCGCTCGACTTGTTCTGCTTCAAGCAGCGACCAGAAATCCCTTCGATCTCTTTTTGTCTGAGCGGTTGGCATATTGAGTCAAAGTCGATACGCATGTTATTTGGGCTCTTCGTGCATATCCGTGCACTGACGATGCCACCTCGCATGGTGGCAAAACGTTTGTAACCAAAGTCTTAAGCTCGGCGAGCAAATGAACAACCAAACCTTTATCTTGTTTACCGAGGTCACAAGCGTAGCTTCAAATACGACGGCAAATTTTCGCAAGGGCAATGTGTGACTGGCTTCGACCTGATTCCCATTAGCCTGACTCCACAATCACACTGGCTAACTTGACAAACTTCTGGGCTATGCTACTGCACCAGAGCTCACGGATGCATTTATTTCAGTGCATATTGAATCGGGTTACTTTGTCACTGATTATAAGTGAGTGTATGGTTACGAATTAGAACACCACACGCAGGGTTATCAGTTGGACTCACGCGGTGTGCATATCTGCCGAACGTCCACATCACAGAATGTGTTACTTGTTGATACTGGAGCCTTGCGAAATGGCGTGACGCAATTTGGAAGCAGCCTGACTGGAGTTGGTTCATACCACGTCGTTGTACAGAAACATGTTTCGAGTTGACTATCCTGCATCCTATCCGTTGCGTTTCTTTGTTTTTTCGCCATTGTTCTGCGCCATATTGTTTTCACTGTCCTACTTTTTTCATTATATACTTCTTTATCTTTTCGATGTCTTGATTGTCTGGCTGAGAGCACCTTGACTCTCCACTCTCCAGTCCTCTGATCGTAATCGGTCCACCTGATGCCACCCGGTTACTTTTTCTTACAATTTGCAAATATATTGCGCTCGTTATCATGCTCGTCACTCTACACATTGTCTTCGCTGAATAGGTTCATTGTAGGAACAGTTTCTTAACAGTTTCTTAATCGATTTTTACAAATAACTACTGTCATATTGGTTTCACTTTGCTTTATTGTTCAATCCTACGCAGAGCACGATCTTATTTTTACTGCTTGATTGGCTATTTTTATTTTCCCTACTTGAAACCCGGCGCCACACCTCTGTCTGTCCTGTATTCGACCTAGGATCCAAATCCACTGGTCCGAGGATCAGCGCTGCGTGTCCTCTCCTCGATCCGTATTCCAATGCTCGTCCCCATAGTCATGTTGGCGTTGGAGGAAGCATGCAAGGATATATCACCTTATGTTCGAAAGCTGTCAGCCTACGCCGTTCTCAAAGTGTACAGGTAAACTGGTTTAGAAAACCTAGACTGTTTCTCTCTTGTCTTCGTTGCATATGATTGCGCACGTTTGAATTCCTCAACCAATCACTTCATGGACGACTTCTATGTTTTTCACGTATACTCTGTTCTCTTTAACAATGTTGGAGCGGCACAATCAACCCTGAATAACCTTACTAGAGTGGTCCCATCATTTGATATGCGCCCCGCGCCTTCAAAGTGCAAAGTATTATTACAGGACCACTAGCCACTTGCTGACTCCTTGACCCTTGATGGCGAGCAACTCGAGGTAGTTACATCGGCAGTGATGGGTGCTAAAACTGTCTTTTTGAATCTGTGGCGTCAGAAAGGGATTTCCCTCGGTTTGAAAGACCGTGTTTACAAGGCCACAGTGAGGAACGCCCTACTCTATGGGAGTGAGACTTGGCCCGTTCGATCTAAGGACCTGCGGCGACTTCGGGTCATCGATCATTGTTGTCTACGAAGCATTGCTGGTGGCGGATGACATCATCGTGTCCGCAACAGTGATGTGCATAAGGGAGTGCTATGTAGTGATAACCAAACTAATTCCTTAGAACACTGATTAACTTGCGTTAGCTTGGGCACCTACTACATGTGCTGGTCACTGCTTACCGGGGGGGGGTGGATTGCTTTGTTCGCCAGATGTAGGATGGCGCAATGTTCGGGACGGGCACAACTTGACTTCGCAGCTGGAAATGAAATCACTCACTAACAAACTGACTACCGTCGGTCCGTCTCGCCTCCTAGACTGGGGTCCACATGACCTGCCTTGTGCTTGGCTCGAGACGTTACTTGACATCGCTCGCAGTTGACAGCAGTGGCGCGTCTTCTGTCGTCTCTTAGTCAGAATGCCTGTTTAAAGTGTGTTTGCTGCTTAGCTATCTGCGGGGTAATGGCTGATTATGATGCGGGGCAGGGAAGCCGCGAGGAAGTTGCGTTACTTATGCCGACTTTGCACGATAGCCGCCTGTTTGTGACGGTATGTGGTTGACAAGGTGTGGGCGCATTGGTCCTAAATCTGCTTATGGCATTGGAGTATTCCGTTAAGTCCACCTTCCCTCCATCTTATTATTCTTCGTTCCAAAAGTCATTGTGGTTGTACATCAGCGAAGCATCAGTTCAGATCGCTGATGTACTGCTGTTGATGATGATGCTTCCTTCTTTTCACGTTTATACATGTGTGTATACTTCATGATGGAGATCAGTAGAATGGACGCGGTAAATTGTTGACTGCTTTGCTTAATTACGTGGACTTTTGGCGCGATTGTATGACAAGCAGAATCTAGATACATCCGATTTCGGTCCCATGATGCACTGTGTTGGATGTCCACGAGGGTATTCGCGCACCACACCCGCTGTGTGCATCTGGAGGTCGCGGATGTAAAATAAACCCAATTCTCTTTTTCTTTTTTTCCCTTGTCTCTTTATCGACCAATTCACCTTTGTGGCTCTCACGTTCACATGAAGATCGCCGAAGGGAAACAGACCGAAACGTCATATCCACCCGTACTGAGTTTTGTTTTTGCCCGCTCTCGTATTATTCAAAGCGCGCATATCGTCATTGGTTTTTCAATGTACTAGTGACCGGCTGCTTTTCTCTAATCCCAATCATTATCGCTTCAAACGTTCCCGTGACTTTAATTTTTGTTCCTCTCTTTTTTCATCACTCCAGTTACTTACGCGCATTTACGTACTGTTACTTCAGTTCTCATTCTTCCCAACGGATACCACATTGTCAAATAGAATGGGACATCGCATTTTACGAGAATTGCAAACGTATGATATCTACATGCATTTGATCCAACCTTTCGTAGACTCACTTTCTCGTATTGTCTAGTACTATGCCATCTTTTTGTCCGGCCCTCTACTTTCTCGCACATGTTGATGCTATTTATTGTTTGGTTAGTTGCATTTGAGTGCCCCGCTGTTTGATCTCAGTTTATGTATTCCACTTTGGTGTGCGTGTACATCTCTGTTTAACATTCTAGTTCTCCAGTTCGCAGATACCCTTATTGGTTCCACTACACTCACACTCGGAACACTCCTCTCCGCTCTCCCCATTTCAGGTTAGATCCATCAGAGAAAGAGCGTCTCGTGAAGGTTGTTGAACAGCTACTAACCGACAAGACAACCTTAGTGATTGGGAACGCAGTGTGGGCCTTTGATGAGCTTTGCCCGGACCGTTTTGACCTCATTCATCCGTGAGTTTTTTTTGGATCAGGTATACTTTTAATGACCGCAGTTGTCTGTTTTCTTGTATAGCGGTCTTCGGTCGGTTCTTTTTAGCTGTGTTGACAAGATCACTTTGTGTTGGATTTCTTCGTTCATTGGATGTATTTCATGGAAATTTAGCTACAATTCAGTTTCATTTTTGATTCTGAAATTTCTGACCAGAAATACTTGTGCTTTCTCCGCTTGGTTTCGGCGATCTTGCTATCGCCATTTTCTCCGTCAATTGGCCGCCATCTTGTTTTCGGATTATTCCCAATGCCGAAGCAGTCACCCTGTAGTACTTGCTCCAAGCTAGTCGGATACCGTGCAAATGTCCTCACATTTCATGTGTTGGATTATCAGTTGAGCATTTTCATCGTCTTCGTGAGACCCAACACGATTTTGTTCAAACTTTATGTGAAAATTGTCGGAACAAGTTACAGCCAGGAAGAGTAATGCCGACGTGTAGACTTCATCATTCCGTTGCGAACTGCTCCGTGTGTTTGGCCCAACAACCTAGGCCGAAGAGCCTTCAGCTCAGTCTTCCTCCTGTACCCGTGCGAACTCACCGGCACGAAGTCCAACCGTTGTGAGAAACCCACTTGCACCTAGCATAAATTTTTTTTACCTTTATTGTGTCCAACGGATACTGATGCTCCAGCAGGTGAAAGTCTGAGTACTGAAGACCAGTGGAAGGAACGCAATTACGAAGGCATGTTGGGCGTTTAACTTCTGTAGGTCAACAGCTAGCCAAACCATGTGAGATTGGTAATATACTTTGCCCTGCAAGGTCAACCTCCTCTGACCAGAGGCGTTATAACCTCGTGATCTTCCACGCGCCAGAGTCCAGTGATCCATCACCCCAAGTGCGCTACGATCACGATGTCGACTTTTACAGAGTCTACTGGACAGACTCCTCGACGTTGGTGAGGACTTGGTAAAAGTGAGGCAAATTACCTGTTTTGGAATCACTTTTGTGCACGAAGCCAGTCCAAGACTGATCATGTCCCGCCTAAGTAGGCTGAAAGGTTTAAAGATCCATGTTCGTCCAGACGTGGACCCAGTAGACAGGGAGCGGCTCAAGTCTGCCATCATTGAGATGAAAAGATGTACTGGTGGGGTAGGGGAGGAAACAAATCTTCGTACCGTAAATTTTCGGGTGGTTTGCAACAATCTGCGAATCAGGACAAACAGGCTGCTCACACTTCAAGCATGCCTGGCAGCTCCTGCTGCGACCTGCGAGTAGCCTTCACAAACGTTTGCAGTGTTATGAACAAGCGCGATGAGCTTTGTTGTTTCCTTACGTCTGAGCGGCCAGACGTAGTGGGACTCGCAGATACATGGCTGCATTCAGAGTTTTATATACCCAAGAACTTGGACTCAACGGTTACTCGTGCTTCCGATGCGATAGACTAAAGAATGCCCACGGTGGTGTCTTACTTTACATCCGGTCTTCCCTGCGTGGGAGACTTATGAGCACCTACTGAAGTAACGATAGTTTGTGTGAGCTACTGTGGTGCTCCATCCGCCTCAGGCGCGGAGAACTTCTTGCGGGCGCAGTTTATCGCAGCCTCCCTCTGTCGTTGTTTGGATTGCCTGCCCATTCTTCGGATCCACATGAGTCGTCCACACTTTCTACTTATGGGCGATTTTAACTGTCCTCGAATACGATGGCCTGATGTGCATTTGATGCCTGGACATAGTGAGGTTGAAGCAAAGTTCGTGGATTTGGCACTTGAAAGTGATGCATCGCAACATCTATGCTAGCCAACACGCTCAACCCCGTCCTGTCTCGACTTGATGTTAACAAGCTACGAACAACGAGTGCGTGACCGGATCCTGGAGACCACTCAGTGCTCATAGCGGGTATGGAATTATCTTTGCGGTATTCACGTCCGCTGTGGCCAGCTTACAACTACTGGTAAACGGACTTCGATGGTCTAGCTCGAGCCGCGAGCCAACTGGATTGGTCTCTGTCACAAGCTGCATCTGTGGAAGACTGTAGGATATTTATAAAAGGGAAACTGACATCATTGTGTTCCCAATTTGTGCCATTGAAATGTCGGAAGGTTGGACCGATTAAGCCTCATTGGTTTGACAAGAAGTATGGAAATCTGGCTCGGAGGCGGCGCAGACTGTGGGACTGATTCATTCTCTCTGGCTCTGCCAATGATTACGAAAGGTATAAAAGTCAGCAGAACCTCTGCCGCAATGCAAAAAGAAAAAGCGCTGACATTTAGAAGAGCAGCTCGCAATAGCCGTGAAGACCGCCCCCATGAGAATCTTTGCTTACCTGAAGCGACGCCTGAAGCCGCAGGTGATTTGCCAGTGCTGGATGACCCGGATGAACGGCCCTTAACCTCCAGCACTGAGCGTGCGTCCGCGTTGGCGGCGCACTTCGCTTCTGTATTTGCGAATGACCAGGTGTCTGTTCCGAGTCCGATGTGTACCGCTTTTACCGAACTCAACAGTCTGGATTGTGACGTTGAAGATATATGTCAGCTACTCGCCAACCTTAACGGCACCAAACCTGCCGGACCGGATGGGCTTCACCAACTGGTTCTCAACTCACTTTCGACCATCATCTCTCCTGTCGTGACTGACCTTTTCAACAAGTCGCTGTCCGAAGGTTCGTTGCCGACTGACTGGATATGTTCGGTGGTGAAGCCTATTCCGAAAGACGGTGACGCTAGCAAAGTAGACAACTACAGGCCAATTTGTCTGACACCTATTTTGGCACAGGTTGCTTAGAAAATCGTGAAGAAGGGATTGCTGCAGTTGCTACAGTCGAATGAGATCCTGACGCCCGCATACCAGAGTTTTATGCAAGGTCGCTCATGCATTACAAACATGCTTGTGACGAGGCATGAGTGGTTGAAGGCAATAAGCATATATATATTTGCAACGGTCTATGAATAGACAGTGAGCCATCGGAAATCATGGAACTCAAAACAAGGTACAGAAATAGTAAAAGAAAACACAACACAACACATCAAAGTCCATGGTTTCGTCAGTGGGCGAGATACTACCCGGTTGCCCAAGCCGAAGTAGGGTGTTGACTTAGTGGACACCGGAGCCTTTGGCTGAATAGCCTGCCCGCAAGGCAGCGGAGCGAATTCAGGGAATCGCGCCCATTGGGAGCCGGTGACTGATTGCTCAGTTCATACGCCTTTCGTTTGTTCTTTTGTCAAACAGAGGCCCAATGCTCCCCAAAATTACAGCACAAAGTTGCTAGAATACAATGCTTCACCAGCATGAAGCAAGCGGCAGTGACTTTATTTAGTAGCAAGTCACGTCCGCCACGTCACAGTGTTGTTAAATGGAAATATGTGGCCTTTTATAGGGAGAACGCTTGCCAGGCGAAAACCCACCACGTCCTGGAACACTGCCGCCGAAGCATTTGCTGGAACGGGAAAATCCAGAACCACCCAGCTGGCACTACGAGAAGGTTGTTCGGCAAGCCAGCAATAAGCAAGGGGAAGTCTGTCGATGTGATATTTATCCATTTCAGCAAAGCGTTCGACAAGGTCAGCCATGAGATTCTGCTTCACAAACTCAGGATTGCAGTGTTGGTGGCTCACTGCACCGGTGGATCCGCGACTTTCTTGTTGGACGAAAGTGGTGGGTACAGGTCGACGACCATCTGTCTGGTATCCCTCTACAAGTGACGTGCCTCAAGGCACTGTGCTGGGGCCCACTCTGTTCCTTATCCACATCAACGATCTACCTCAGCTTCTCCGGTCGCCGTATGCCTTGTTTGCGGACGACATGAAGATTTGGAGAGAAATTGACGCTCCCGACGACTGTGGCCTACTTCAGCAAGACCTCAATCGCCTTTCCACATGGTCTGCAGCAGTTCATCTCCCGGTCAAACCTGCCAAGTCTGTATTTATGAGCCTGGGGAAGGGTGCTGACGGCCGAACCTACACACTTGACGGCCAACCGCTATATCCCACACCCTTGGTGAATGACCTAGGTGTACTCTTGCGCTACGATTTGAAGTGCGTGGACAACACGAACAGGCTATATCGTAACGGACTGCGCATGCTTTGGGCGCTCCAACATAGCTTCGTCACATAGTCTGAAGAGGTTGCCACTCGCCTCTTCTCTTCCATCATTAGACCAATGCTAGAGTACGGTTCGCGCGCTTACTTTTCGATTACCCGAGGCGGAGCACAAAAGATCGAACGGGTCCAACGCGTTGCTACCAGGCTCATCCCGAGTTTACGTGGCTTGGGGTATGAAGACCGGTGCGAGAAATTAGGACTCTACACTTTGTTCTATCGTCGGGTGCGAGTCGACCTCATTATCACCTACCGTATTCTACATCTCGGTGAATTCCCAATGCTAAGGCCAATGCTGCACTTACGAGGGCCATGCAGCACATGCGGACACAGATACAAACTTGTCGTGCCGGATGTGAAACGTGTTCCCCACCCACTGTGCTTCGAACGGAGAGTGGTAAATATTTGGAACAGTTTTCCTGAACATGTGATTGAGGCAACATCTGTGCAGCAGTTCAAAACGTTGTTAGATTTGTATTTTGCTACTATTAGATTCAGAGAACGATTGCACAATTACGATGACATGTCACATGTGTGGGTCCTGCAATACCGTGAGTCAGATATTTTGAATGTTATATGAGAACGATAACGATATTCAAGGCTGACAATTTTTATAACCTTTTTTGCCATATTTCGAAAGAGTTGTACCGAATTCATTTCTACTTGCTCTATAATACAGTATTCAGTAGCGTAACTCTTAGCGGAGTAATCATTCAAAAGGTTTTATTCGCGTTTGCACGCCCCCTCTGGTCGCTTATTTGTTTGACTTATTTTTATGACCGTTGTTATATGCATATCGAATGTGCATACAAGTCATCCAACCCGTTCCACAATTCAGCTCCTTCGAGGTACACACTTGCTCGCCAGTGATTCTTTGCTAACTCACTTTGTCTCGGTGTACTGATGTGCTTGGAAGCCTGAATGCG